TGCTGAGGTATAAATACATAAATAAATATTATATTATGAATAAATAAATAAATAAATGCATGAATGAATTAAACTGAATAAATAAATAAATAAATAATAATAAAAAAATCATATACAATTTGAATTATAATCAGTGCTTTAAGTGGGCCGGTACGCACCGGTACTCAGTACCGCCACTTCCAAATATAGCTCTTGAGCGTACCGCCACCTCTCCGTGCGCCCAGAACGTGCTTTTAGCGTACCGGTACGCTCATTTGCACATCTGTTTTAATCCTTTGGCTGCGCTGCCGCTTTTCAAAGCCCCCTTCGCAATGCACGCCTCCTAATTCGTCCCACCGAGAGCAGAGACTACATTACCCATACACCCTTGAGTTTTACAAGTGAAAAGCGCATGCGTCGCTTTAGCAGTGTTAGCTGCTCGGTTAAAATACAAATAATAGAGCATCACAGTGCGTGTAAACACCGCGAAGGTCCGTGAAGACTGAAGATCGTGTAATGACGTAGGGCTAGCTCATTGGTCGCACGTCAGAGGCGCCCGCGCCATTGGATGTGCAGTTGCCGCAGTACAGCCTATGAGCGAGCCAGATGCTCAATGTGTTTTACATATAAGCTTCATTAAATCAGAATCAGAAAAGGAGTTTCCCTGCACATTCACTATATAAAATTCACTGGAGGAAAAAGTTCGCGTGGCCGTCGTCAGATTTGGAAGTCGCTCAAAAGGCTCTTTCGCGGTTGTGGCTTCAGTCGACTTCAGTGAGGCGCGGTGGTTTATGGGATGAGTAGTTCCTTCGCTCGGAAATGAAAATATGTACACAGTCTTGTACCTTTGACTTTATTTGTATTTTCTCTTCGTTTTTTCACTCGAAATGATATGTTGTATGCTTATGAGTTCAGCCGTAGCTGGTTATCCTCAGACATGCTCTAAAACTCTTTAGATACGTTTTTTCCAAAACGTCAATGGGAGAAATGAATGGGAAATTTACTTCCGGCACCGAAGCTCTCTCGGGCTGTGGGCGGGACTGTGATGCTCCCCAGACAATAACCATTTTTTACAGTCTATGACAATAACATTTAATTTTGTAACAGAATAAAAGTTTTTTTTTTTTTTTACAAATGTAATTTTACTCTGTTTATTAATGTTTTTACTCAACATTTGTGCAGGTTTTGGAGGATTTATGATATATTTTAAATTTCTATAAATAAATAAATATTTATTTAAATAGGCTTTTTACAAAAAAAAAACAGCATTTTATGTCAAATTCACTTTATAAAAGACCCAGATTTCTAACTTTCATTCATGGAGATAACATGGATAATTTTACATGGTTTAATGTAAGATTTTTGGCCATTTTTTTGAAAATGCAGTTTTAAAATAAGATTACTTAATATCACTTTAACCACTAGATGGCTATAGAGCTTCACTATATGCTATTTGCTATTTGACTAATCAAAATATATATTTTCACAAGTTTTTCCAGTTGGATTCATATCCACATTTTGTACATTTTATTTATGTTCAGTAGCTCTTTCTACTGTAGCTCTTTCTAAGGGTATTTTTTTCAATACCCCTTTGCACATTTTATTTATGTTCAGTTGCTCTTTCTAGCTAAAGCAAATCTACAAACCAATAAAAGGATTTATTATTTTTTATAAGGTCGTCTACTGACTGCTGTTTATATAAAACCCCATCAATATAGTTGTTGTCACCTCAGGGGAGGAGGGGAGTCAGCAAAAAATAAATAAATAAATAATAATAATAATAGAGTACCGCCACCTCTTTTGGGCCACTTAAAGCACTGATTATAAATGAACAAATACTATTATAAATGACTATAAATAATTGAATGAATGAATAAATGTAAAAAATAAATAAATATGAAATAAAATTTTAACTATAGGCTAAATAAAATAAAATAAATTATATTATAAATGAATTAATGAATGAATCGATGAATGAATGAATTGATTAATTAATGAACAAACATACAATAAACAACCAACTAAACAAATAAAGACTCAAATATCTGACTCTAATGACTTTCCTTATCGACCGACGTCACAAAACGAGCATGAAACGAACTGCAGAAAACTTAACGACCAAATTAAAAATCCATTAAAATCATTGCAATATTTGATATAGTCAAGAAGATGATATGGAATATATATACAGTATATATGGCACAAATATCTGATATATCCCCCAGCCTTGTATCAGACTAATAACTAATAAACATGCAAATAGTGATATGCAAACCACTGTGCCACTAAAAAAAATAAAAAAAAGATTGATAAAAGACATATATGAAGCACATTTACCCATTACACAATCCCAGTCTGGATGTAAGAGACTCTCCGTCTCGCAGTGAGTGCGCACTACTCTCGCACACTCGTGCACTACTCTCGCACACTTGCGCACTACTCTCGCACACTCGCGCACTACTCTCGCACACTCATGCACTACTCTCGCACACTCGCGCACTACTCTCGCACACTCGCGCACTACTCTCGCACACTCATGCACTACTCTCGCACACTCGCGCACTGCTCTCGCACACTCGCGCACTACTCTCGCACACTCGCGCACTACTCTCGCACACTCATGCACTACTCTCGCACACTCGCGCACTACTCTCGCACACTCATGCACTACTCTCGCACACTCGCGCACTACTCTCGCACACTCGCGCACTACACTCGCACACTCGCGCACTACTCTCGCACACTCATGCACTACTCTCGCACACGCGCGCACTACTCTCGCACACTCGCGCACTACTCTCGCACACTCGCGCACTACTCTCGCACACTCGCGCACTACTCTCGCACACTCGCGCACTACTCTCGCACACTCATGCACTACTGTCGCACACGCGCGCACTACTCTCGCACACTCGGGCACTACTCTCGCACACTCGCGCACTACTCTCGCACACTCGCGCACTACTCTCGCACACTCATGCACTACTCTCGCACACTCGCGCACTACTCTCGCACACTCTCGCACTACTCTCGCACACTCATGCACTACTCTCGCACACTTGCGCACTACTCTCGCACACTCATGCACTACTCTCGCACACTCGCGCACTACTCTCACACACTCTCGCACTACTCTCGCACACTCATGCACTACTCTCGCACACTCATGCACTACTCTCGCACACTCTCGCACTACTCTCGCACACTCATGCACTACTCTCGCACACTCATGCACTACTCTCGCACACTCTCGCACTACTCTCGCACACTCGCGCACTACTCTCGCACACTCGCGCACTACTCTCGCACACTCTCGCACTACTCTCGCACACTCATGCACTACTCTCGCACACTCATGCACTACTCTCGCACACTCTCGCACTACTCTCGCACACTCATGCACTACTCTCGCACACTCATGCACTACTCTCGCACACTCATGCACTACTCTCGCACACTCATGCACTACTCTCGCACACTCATGCACTACTCTCGCACACTCTCGCACTACTCTCGCACACTCATGCACTACTCTCGCACACTCATGCACTACTCTCGCACACTCATGCACTACTCTCGCACACTCGCGCACTACTCTCGCACACTCATGCACTACTCTCGCACACTCGCGCACTACTCTCGCACACTCATGCACTACTCTCGCACATGCGCGCACTACTCTCGCACACTCGCGCACTACTCTCGCACACTCGCGCACTACTCTCGCACACTCGTGCCCTACTCTCGCACACTCGTGCCCTACTCTCGCACACTCGTGCCCCTACTCTCGCACACTCGTGCCCTACTCTCGCACACTCGTGCCCTACTCTCGCACACTCGTGCCCTACTCTCGCACACTCGTGCCCTACTCGTGCCCTACTCTCGCACACTCGCGCACTACTCTCGCACACTCGTGCCCTACTCTCGCACACTCGTCCCCTACTCTCGCACACTCGTGCCCTACTCTCGCACACTCGCGCACTACTCTCGCACACTTGCGCACTACTCTCGCACACTCGCGCACTACTCTCGCACACTCGCGCCCTACTCTCGCACACTCGTGCATTACTCTCGCACACTCGAGCCCTACTCTCGCACACTCGTGCACTACTCTCGCACACTCGTGCACTACTCTCGCACACTCGTGCACTACTCTCGCACACTATGATGATGTCCACTGTGATCCGCACCCATGCTGAGGGAACAAACACTCAGGTGTGATTGATCGTATTGTTTGAGATTATCAGACGATCGTCTTATGATAAAAGCATTAATGTTTGATGTGGAGAGCCGAAGCGGAGGACAATAATCAATGCAATTAACTAGAACACACTAATGGATGCGGATCAAACCTGAAGTCAAGGGGAATTTACTAATCACATCCTCAGTGGTCAGATTATGCAGTGTGTGTGTGTGTGTGTGTGTGTGTGTGTGTGCGCAGACAACAGGATTCATGAGAAACAATCACTCTTCTGTTTTTCACAAGCCTGTGATAGTTTGGGAATCAGCCAGGTAAAATAAATTAATTAAAATAAATACAATTCTACTATAAAAATGAATGAATAATTAAATAAAATCGAATTATATTATGAATGAATGGATGAATGAATTAATGAATGATTGAATGATTAAATACATAAATGAAGTTCTGTCATGAGTGAATGAATGGAAAAAATAAAAGTAAATTTGATTATGAATTAATGAATAAAAGAATAAATAAACTAATTAAATTCTATTAAGAATTAATGAATAAATTCCATTATAAATGAATGAATACAAAACTAAATATGAATAAATAAATTCTATTATGGATGAATGAATAAATAAATGAATGTAAAAATATAAATAAATTATATTATGAATATATGATGCGCGAGTGTGTGTATGTGTGAGTGTGTGTGTGTGAATGTTTGTCTGCGGGAGTGTGTGTGTCTGTGCGCACATGTGTGTGAGATTGTTTGTCTGTGTGTGTGTGTGTGTGTGTGTGTGTGTGTGTGACCCAGCTCGGGTCTGAGACTCACCAGTAGTAGACGAGATGTTGACGTCGATGCTGATCTCAGGAATGCCGCCTCCCCTCAGCGACGCCACGCAGGTGTAGGTGCCGAAGTCGGTGAACTTCAGGTCGATGATGTCCAGGTTGGTGGTTCCGGGGGAGATGTCGGGGTCGGTCTGCGTGATCACCATCCGCTCGGAGCTGCGTAACGCACGGCCGTTCTTCAGCCAGCTGAACTGCAGCTCCTCGGGAGGCGTCGCCTCCACCTGGCAGGAGATCTTCACCTCGCGCCCGATCTGGATGTTGTCGTCGTTGTGGTACGGGTCGGGCGTGATCCAGAAACGGCCCTTCTTCAGCGCTGGAACCACACAGATCAGAAGAAACACCGTCAACTAAAAGAAGTGAGTGTGTGTGTGAGTGAGTGAGTGTGTGTGAGTGAGTGAGTGAGTAAGTGTGTGTGAGTGAGTGAGTGAGTGAGTGAGTGAGTGAGTGAGTGAGTGAGTGAGTGAGTGAGTGAGTGAGTGAGTGAGTGAGTGTGTGTGAGAGTGAGTGAGTGAGTGAGTGAGTGTGTGTGAGAGTGAGTGAGTGAGTGAGTGAGTGAGTGAGTGAGTGAGTGTGTGAGAGTGAGTGAGTGAGTGAGTGAGTGAGTGCGTGCGTATGTGTGTGTGTGTGTGTGTGTGAGTATGTGAGTGAGTGTGTGTTTGTGTGTGTGTGTGAGTGAGTGTGTGTGTGTGTGAGTGAGTGAGTGAGTGTGTGTGAGAGTGAGTGAGTGAGTGAGTGAGTGTGTGTTTGTTTGTGTGTGTGTGTGTGAGTGAGTGTGTGTGTGAGTGAGTGAGTGAGTGTGTGTGAGAGTGAGTGAGTGAGTGAGTGAGTGAGTGAGTGAGTGAGTGAGTGTGTGTGAGAGTGAGTGTGTGAGTGAGTGAGTGAGTGAGTGTGTGTGAGAGTGAGTGAGTGAGTGAGTGAGTGTGTGAGTGAGTGAGTGAGTGTGTGTGAGAGTGAGTGAGTGAGTGAGTGAGTGTGTGAGTGAGTGAGTGAGTGTGTGAGTGAGTGAGTGAGTGTGTGAGTGAGTGAGTGAGTGAGTGTGTGTGAGAGTGAGTGAGTGAGTGAGTGAGTAGTCTCAGCCTCAGACGTCACGCCCACGGAACGTTGGCTAAACGTCTGATGCATATGGTACACTTAACTGGAAACACTTCAGGAATGTCGAAGTCGTCATCTGATTGGTTGAATTTTATCGGATTTCCGGGGGGTGCGAGTGTCACGTTTATTTTCGGTCTGCCGGGAAACAAAGCGCAGACGTGTGATTGCGGAAGAAAAACTGTTGTGTTTACATGAGTGACAATGAGCATTTCTCAAGATCAGCTAAACGTAGGATTCTCAAAAGTATGCGAGGTTCACGGCGTAGACTCTTTAAGAGATGTCCAGGAGTTTTGTTTGAGGCACTTAGTGGAGACAAAAAGAGATATTTTAGCCTGTTTGCCGACGGGATTTGGGAAGAGTATTATTTTCCAAGCCTGGCCGACCCTTTGTCAGCATTTATAAGGATTCCCAGCAGATCCAACTTTACTAGTTGTGTGTCCCCTCCTATCTATTACATAGCTGTCAACCCTCTCGTTTTTTCCGGGTTTCTCGATCACGTATTTTAGCTCTTTTCCCGCTGTCTTCCCGTTTTATTATTTTCCCGTAAAATATCCCGTATTTTTACGCTCTGATTGTGTGAGACGTACATGCTCGGGCAGATTCGGCTTGAAGTCGTTCATCCTCGGATGCGGCGCCGCGCGCGCTGTTACAAAAAAAGCTGTGCACACAGCCAAGCGAAATGGGGTCTTGCCGGTCTTGCGCACCCAACGCGTAATCTTTGCCGCGCTCGTGCGGACGCGTCAAGTATAAACAATTATACTCCGTGTCAGCGCGCGCTTTGATCGGTAAAGGAGCACAGACCTCTCCCTAATCATCTCCAGCAGCCCCCGAAGCACCACGTATCGTTTCCCTCGTATTAGTATTTAAACATTCTCTGATAAAAAATGTTTAAAAAATGACACACTTTCTCTCATACACACACACACTGTCTCTTTCTCTCTCACTCATTTGTAGTTATAAACTCTTTAGACTTTTAATGATTAGTGCTTTATTTTTAAAGTTTGTGGTGGGTAAGAATCGTGTAAAAAAATTCCCTTATTTTGGGGATGGATTCCGGGAAATCTCCCTTATATTCAATGTTCAATGTTGACAGCTATGATCTATGGAAGATCAAGTGAAGTACCTAACTGTGAAGGGGATATCAGCCGCGTTTGCGGGCAAACATGAAACAACAGACGCTGACATCGCAGCTGGCCGATTCAGTATTGTGTTCGGTTTTCTTCTCCTTCTTTGATTTTCTATGCTGACTGACTTGTTGCACGCCGGTCTGTTGTTGTGGGGACATTTCCACGTGACGCTGAACGAAACGAACTGTAATTGGTTGTTTGACATGTCGGTCAAACGGCCTTATGGGCGGGCCTTGGCCAAAGAAAGCTGCTATGAGTTCCAGACCTTCAGCCGTCAGTCTGAAGGTCTGGCTACGCGAGACTAGTGAGTGAGTGAGTGTGTGTGAGAGTGAGTGAGTGAGTGAGTGAGTGCGTGCGTATGTGTGTGTGAGTATGTGAGTGAGTGTGTGTTTGTGTGTGTGTGTGTGTGTGAGTGAGTGTGTGTGTGTGTGTAAAGCCTTTAATTCATGGATTTAAACACCTTGTTCATCTAAGCATCATCACCAGTGCTCATATTTAGAGTTAGGGGTTCTCAACAATCAATAATTTTACTTAAAGTCAAAACAGTGGGGACATTTCCCAAACATGCTCGACCAATCACAACACACTGCTCCAGCCGACCAATCAGAGCACAGTGTGCTTTTCAGAAGGAGGGGCTTCATAGAGACAGGAAGTGAACAGAGCGTTACTGACAGACTGGGAAGAGAGGAGCCGCAACAATGGAGAATATGAGGAGAATAATCAACATTCAAGCAGGAAAACCTGTTCTAGTAGAGCCTGAAACATCATCGAGACTTTGCAGTAATAGTTCATCTTTAACCGAGCAGCTAAAGCTGATGCTTCAACAGGCCTGATATAGCAGCGCCTGTAACATGTTCAATGAAATAGTATATAATAATATTTGCAGATTGCTTGTTACATCTGAAACTGGTTGTTTGTAGTGTTTTTTAATACGTTATATTTTTTAAAGGTGTGTTCAATGATTGTATTGTATTGTATAACTGTGAATACAGTTATTCATGAGATCATACAACGCATAATAAAAATACATCTATAATGCAATATATATAGTGGCTTTAAGTAAGTGTTAGTAGATCTTATTTTATGCATCACTCTTCAAATTGAGCGTTGATGGTGTTTATTTTGATGTTTGAAACGGCTTAAAAACAACATGAAAGAACTTTAACTTTGGCTATACTTCCATATGAAAAGATATAATGCATAATCATTAGTGCTGGGCAACGATTAATCGCGTCCAAAATAAAAGTTTGTGTTTACATAATATATGTGTGTGTACTGTGTATAATTATTTTGTATATATAAATACACACACATGCATGTATATATTTAAGAAATATTTGCATGTATTGTATATATATATATATATATATATATACATAATTTATATTATATATAAATATTTTATATATGAATAAAAAAATGTCTTAAATATATACATTTTTAATATGTAAGAAATGTTTGCATGTATATACTGTTTATATATATATATATACATCATTTATATTATATATAAATATTTTATATATAAATAACACATTTTTCTTAAATATATACATTTTTAATATCTAAGAAATATATATATATATATATATATATATATATATATATATATATTTCTTAAATATGTATATTATATATATACACATGCATGTGTGTGTATTTATATATACACAATAATTATACACAGTACACACACACATATTATGTAGGCTAAACACAAACTTTTATTTTGGTTGCGATTAATCGGCGCCCAGCACTAATTATAATTTAGCCTATATTATGAACACCTTTATAATGCATTATACATGAAGGCTTTAGTAAAAGCCTTGGCAGGGAAATATAAACAACTGCAAAAGTAGAATTGGAGCATTTTAAGAGGCTAACCTGCAGATTCGTCCTCTGGAAAGGCAAACGGTTCGTCATTTCTGCGCCATTGTGTCAGATACACATCGAGATTCATTTCGCATGCAGACTGTTTATTACGGCGTTCAGATGGCTGAATTTTATCTTGCAAAACAAAAGAGCAGTCGGAGCGGAGGAATCTTTTCATCTTCTCTTGCATGACATTATCAGGCTAAAATGAGGAGGAGGAGGAGGACGTGAAGAACATGAAGAAAGCAGAAACAAAAGCAGCCTGTCAGACTCAAATAGCCTACTGGAGATTGAAAGCATGGAGACTCACACCGTGTCCTAACTACACGCGACGCGACGCGCGATAAAATGCATGTTTTCCATGTTAATCGGAGTGTTCGTCCTAACCGGCCGAGACGATGCTATTTTAGAAGCGGTTTCTATTTTTCTGCACGTCGCGCTGAAACAACAAACACAAAGTGTGGCACTGATAATCTCAGGCACTGTTAATGTGCTTTATTTAATGTTAAAGCGTGTCATGTGACTCTGAATATCAGTTAGTGCTCCAGCTTTGCAGCCGTAAAAGCAACAATGGATAATTCACCTCAGATCTTGAAATTACACAAACGTTCAAACTCTGAACAAACGTGTGTATTCTTTGACAAAGATTGTTTTAGTAACTCAGTAGCCTATATATTTTTAATAATAATGTTTAAATGGTGTAATATTTGTGAATTTGATTATGTATTATGCTTATCCATGTTCTTGCGAGTGCCGTCAGGATCACTCTCTGGTGCCGCGCACTCGCCGCGAGACTCCGCCCACTTCCCGTGAGACTCCGCCCACACGCTGCTCTGATTGGCTGTGGGTTTTGATTGATTTTGAGCATCTCGCAGTCGTGTCGCGTCTAGTGTGGACAGACTCACGCCGGGTTCACACCGGACGCTGAAGCGATGCGGAACGGAAAATAACGCGCAGTCCGGTGCAGTCTGGTGTGAACGACACCATAGGTTAACATGGGCGCCGAAAGGAAGCGGCCTCCATTCCGCGTCGCTTCAGCGTCCGGTGTGAACCCGGCGTCATGGTGTCACGCCAATTCGCGTCACTCCTGTTGGTTGTCCCTCCCGAAAGTCGCTCTTCATTTGCATAAAGTTAAACAGATCTCAACTTTGCCGCGTCGCCATTCACGCCCCACCGGTCGCTGTCGCGCGTGTCGCCGGAAATCGCCCGCTCCCCATTGAAA